GCCAAAATGGCACTCGGCAAAATACATCTTTGCCGAGTGCCAGAAAAAAGGCACTCGGCAAAGACGCATTTTGTCGAGTGCCAAAAAATAACACTCGGCAAAATACATCTTTGCCGAGTGCCGAAAAAAACACTCGGCAAAGTCATCTTTGTCGAGTGTTTTTTTTGCCGAGTGTATTTTATTTGGCACTCGGCAAAGACCGTCTTTGCCGAGTGCCCAATAAAATACACTCGACAAAGCCTCCGACACTCGGCAAAGCTTGAGATTCCGCTAGTGTGGCAAGGCCCTGAAGACCGTTAACCTCGACGAACCACGCGCCCAAGTCCATCTCGGACATGTGGGCGCCGACCAGCAGCAGCGGTGGTATCTAGACTCTGGTGCCAGTAACCACATGACGGGCTCCAAGACATCCTTCTCCGAGCTCGACGGCGATGTTACTGGTAAGGTGAAGTTTTGTGACGGCTCAAGGGTGGCTATCCAAGGACGCGACACCATTATCTTCAGATGCCAGAATGGGGAGCACCGCGCGCTAACGGATGTATATTACATCCCGTAGCTGCGTTCCGGCATCATCAGCATTGGTCAGCTAGATGAGCGTGGTAGCGAGGTACTGATCAAGGATGGCGTCCTTAGGATCAGAGACTGGGAGCAGTGACTTCTTGCCAAGGTGAAGAGGTCACTGAACTGGTTGTACCTGCTCGACCTGAAGGTAGAGCAGTCGGTGTGTCTAGCGGCAAGGCACTCCGACGAACCATGTATGTGGCATGCCCGGTTCGGACATCTCAGCTTTGACGCGCTTGGTCGGCTAGAGAAGATGGTCCGAGGGCTACCCCACATCAAGCACGAAGGCGAGCTGTGTGACAGCTGCCTGGCCGGGAAGAAGAGGAGGCTACCTTTCCCAAAGGCGGCCAAGTATCACGCGAAGGACGCTCTCGAGCTCGTTCACGGTGACCTCTGCGGGCCGATCACGCCTGCTACAAACGGTGGTCGGCGGCACTTCCTCCTACTCGTGGATGATTGTAGTCGCTAGATGTGGCTGCAACTCCTGACGAGCAAGGACGGAGCGGCAGCGGCGATCAAGAAGTTCAAGACACGCGCGGAGGCCGAGAGCGGCAAGAAGCTCCGCGTGCTGAGGACTGATCACGGCTATGAATTCACTTCGGTGGAGTTCGCTGCGTACTGCGCGGATCAGGGTGTGGGGCAACACCACACCGCGCCGTACTCGCCACAACAGAATGGCGTGGTGGAGCGACAGAACCAGACGGTGGTCGGCATGGCCTAATCCATGATGAAGGCCAAAGGCATGCCGGCAAGGTTCTGGGGAGAGGCGGTGACCACGGCGGTGTTCATCCTCAACCGCGCTTTGACCAAGGCCCTGACAGGCAAGATGTCGTTCGAAGCTTGGTATGGGCGTAAGCCGAGCGTGTCCTTCCTCCGGACATTTGGCTGCATCGGCCACGTCAAGAAGACGAAGCCGAATCTCACCAAGCTGGAGGACAGGAGCACACCGATGGTGTTCCTGGGCTACGCGGAGGGTACCAAGGCGTACCGGCTCTACGACCCACGCGGAGACAAGGTGCTTGTCACGCGCGACGTCGTGTTCGATGAGAAAGCGGCTTGGGACTAGAGCAGTTCGAGCACGGGGGAAGCTGGAGGCTTCACCAGTACCTTCGTCGTCGAGCACTTGATCATCCACGGTGGTGGAAACACTGGGGAAGAGGTGTCGAACACTCCGGGAGGGCTGCTGAGCACTCCGGTGGCAGAGATGAGCACTCCTGGGGCGATGCCGAGCACTTCGGGAGTGATGCCGAGCACTTAGGGAAGAGTGCCGAGCACTCCTAGAGGGATGCCGAGCACGCCAGGAGTGGTGCTGGGAGGTTCTGCAGTGGTGGAGACCACTCTAGGACGGGTGCCGAGCACTCTCGTGGTGGAGCCAAGACGTCTTGCAGTGGTGCCGACCACTCCAAGACTAAGGCTGGGCACTCCTACAGTGTGGCTGAACACTGCAGGAGTTATGACGAGCTGTTCAGAAGTAGTGCCGAGCACTCAAGTTTCTGTGCGAAGCACTTCGGCGGAACAGAGAACTCCATCGACGCCGATCGAGTTTGCCTCACCTCCAAGTGACATCACTGAGTTTGTGGACGCCTACCACGAAGGTGAGGAGGTGCGGTTCCGTAGGCTAGACGACATCGTCGGCGGCATAGGTCCCTCAGGTCTGGTGGGCAGGCTGCTCGATCAATGACGTGGAGCTGCTGCTTGTCAGTGCTGAGGAACCACCCACGTTCGCGCTAGCCGAGCGTGATGGAAACTAGCGACGGGCGATGCTGGAGGAGATGAAGGCGATCGAGGAAAACGAGACTTGGCAGCTCGTCGATCCACCTCTAGGATGCCGTCCGATCAGCCTGAAGTGGGCGTACAAGGTCAAGCGAGACGAGCTCGGCGCCATTGTCAAGCACAAGGTGCGTCTCATCGCCCGGCTTTGTTCAGCGCGAGGGCATAGACTTTGAGGAGGTCTTTGCACCAGTAGCGCGCATAGAGTCGGTTTGTTTGCTACTTGCTTTGGCAGCAGCAAAGGACTGGGACTGACACGTCCATCACCTGAACGTTAAATCGGCCTTCCTCAACGGCGAACTGGCGGAAACGGTCTTCATCAGGCAACCTCCAAGTTTAGCTGTCAAGGGAGAGGAGCACAGGGTGCTCCGACTGCGCAAGGCGCTCTACGGGCTACGGTAGGCCCCACGAGCATGGAACGCCAAGCTTGACGCCACGTTGGGCGAGCTTGGGTTTTAGAGGTGCACAACCGAGCACGCGCTCTACATGCGGTGATGGGGGAAGGAGGAGCTCATCGTCGGCGTGTATGTGGATGACATAATCGTCACCGGCGCGCGCACGGAGGACATCAACAGCTTCAAACACGAGATGGCAGCTCGTTTTCTAATGAGCGATCTCGGCGCACTCTCCTACTACCTCGGCATCGAGCTGAGACAGGAGAAGGAGGAACTCACGCTCGGTCAGAGCGCGTATGCCTCCAAGCTGTTGGAGAGGAGCGGCATGGCTGAGTGCAAGCCATGCGTGACTTCGATGGAGGAGCGGCTGAAGCTGACGAAGGCCAGCATCGTCGGCGGTCTACGCTACCTAGTCCACACGAAGCTGGACATTGCGTTCGCCGTGGGCTACGTCAGTCGCTTTATGGAGGATCCCAGAGAGGATCACTGGGCTACGGTGAAGCGGCTACTGTGCTACGTCAAGGGGACTGTGGATCATGGGATCATCTTCCCAAAGACCGACGGGAGTAGGCTGTAGCTTACTGTGTTCAGCGATGCAGACATGGCAGGGGACATCGACGAGCGACGGAGCACCTCTGGCGTGCTCGTCTTCCTCGGGTCGGCCCCAATTTTATGGTTGTCGCTGAAACAGAAGGTGGTGGCACTATCTACGTGTGAGGCAGAGTACGTAGCGGCGGCCACAGCGGCGTGCCAAGTTGTGTGGCTACGCCGACTGCTGGGCAAGCTGACCGGCGTGGAAGCTCACCCACCAACACTGATGGTGGACAACCAGCCCGCCATCGCCCTCGCGAAGAATCCGGTTCTGCATGACCAGAGTAAACACATCGACGTGAAGTTCCACTTCGTCAGGGACTGTGTCGATGGAGGGCAGATCGTCATCGAGTTCGTCAAAACTGGTCGGCAACTCGCGGACGTCCTCACCAAGCCGCTCGGACGTCTTCGACTCACGGAGCTGAAGGAGATGATCGGCATGGAGGGGATACAAGGGTTAGCAGTAGGATTAGGGGAAGATTGTTAGATAATCTACTGCTACCTTATGTGAACACATAAAGGGAAGGCGGCGCCGAAAAGGTCCCCTGCTGTGATACTGTAGCCGCTGCAGGTGCAGGCGCCAAACGGCTCACCTCCAGCACTGTAGGCACATGCAGTTACCGGCGCAGAGTCAACCATGTATGTTATCTAGTTACTGTTACAGCATGTGCGCTGTACTAGGACTAGATAGATAGAGTTCAGATTTGCCATCTCACAAACAGAGTTTCGGCCAACGCTGGTGTCTTGCATTGTATGTGTGCTTGCTCTGTTCTCCCTTCTTCTTCAAGCTCTAGCCATAGTGTGTGGGGATGGACAACGCTTGTTCATGGTCGGCATGGCTAGTGAGTGCTCGGCAACACTAGCGGGTGCTCGGTAAGACTGGTGAGTGGTTAACTCGCCTGATCCGGTGATCCTGTGGGCCAACAATCTCATCTCGTGTGACAGCCAAATTTGAGTGCCATCGCCTGCCACTTTATTTTCATGTAGCATAAGATGATCCCATAGTTTCTGTTGTTTTAGGAGGTGTATAGTATGAAGAAGTTTATATGTGCATTGGTAAATGACCACAGGACCTTGTCAGCTAAAGGACATAATTAGTAATAATCCCTATCCACCCCTGGGTCAAACTCCAGATTCAATCCTTGTGTATATCATAGCCATTTCTGTCAATATAGTAGGCAAACATATATATGCTTGCCGACAATAATGCGATGCCAGCTGTGACATTTGCAAACTCAAGATTTACTGTCTAGTTTCCATAGATTGCAAACGATAACTGTCACACGTCATATATTCATTACATACTGCATATATATAGCAAAACAAGGAATGGTTTCAATATATACACGATCTCGCATATCCACCACACCTAGTGCCAATAAATTCTTACAATCTTTGCTGATTTGTTTATATCTACAGATTCTAATCTATTATTCATTTCCAAATTAGCTAGTCAATAAATTCTTACAATCTTTGCTGATTTGTTGATATCTACTGATTCTAATCGATTATTCATTTCCAAATTAGCTAGTCAAATGAGGTCATCGTCTCGCTGGGAAGGCAGGTTTACTCCCTTTATATACTGATCCGAGTTGCGAGGTCATTGCTCAAGGCCATTCTAAACCCCTCTCAAACGGAGAGGCTTAGCTGATTAGAAAGCAAGAGATCAGCAGTCAATTCAGTATGAAGGGCCGCAGCAATGGTGGTGGTAGCAGCTTGGTTTATGGGACTGCCATTGCCATTGCCATGTGTGTGGCTATTCTATTCGGATGCCTAGCAATGACTGCACAAGCAGGTACGTAGTCTACATTGTCCTCATGCATCGTCTTCAATCTCTTGTCGTGAATCTGCGAAAATGAGTTCATATATATTTGAATACTGACGAACGCAAAATATATACAGGTCGTTCTCCTCATCAGCTGCTCAGCAAGGTGGGACGGCGCACAACAAGGGCACTCTATCTAGCTAGCAGTGGGAGCAACACAACAAGCGCCTACCATACCGAGGATAATTGCTTTGAAGCTTTAGATGATGAGACGAAGACGAAGCTGATCACACTAATATTTTGCACCGCGAAATGCTATTGCCATAGCGATCGTAAGGAAGACGTCTGCTACTGCTGCCAGCCTGAGCAAGGTTGTTACGACACGTTGCAGGAGTGCCAGGCCAAATGCCCTGTCTGCAACCCTACGTGCCCGGATGGAACAACGGCGGATGGACAACAGCTGCATGGAACAAAGAACGCCACTCTTATAAATTAAGGGTTGCGTCCATGATAATATTTTAACTGTTGTTTTAGAATGGGATGGAGCCGAGTAATACTTTGTTGATGTAAAAGATGTACTCCATTCCTTTCAAAGGTAGAAGCTCTAGCCTTATTCTAGGTCAAACTTTTCTATCTTTTTTTTAATGCTCAAGGAAGGGAACAAGAGGGATGATATAAGGGTTAATTGGATCTATGCCATTATAACTTCTTCGTTTCTGAAGAACGCCATTACTATTCGTCTATTTGGAAGTATGCCATTACAATTCTTCATTTTTCACAAAAATGTCACTGAATACGTATGGGCACAGCCTGGGCCCAGCTGCAGACGTATATGAAGACGTATACTTCATCTTCCCTGTCACTGACACGCGGGTCCCACGTGTCATCTTCTTCATCCTCTTCTCCGAATCTCTCTCTCCGGTTCTCTCTCTCCATCCCGAGCGCCAGGCCGCCGCGTCACCATTGCCGGGCCTAGCCCGAGCTCCCCGACCTCCCACCACAGACCACCTCCGGTTCCATACGCTCCACCGTTGGCACCACAGCGACACCATGAGACCGCCCCGCTGCTTCTTGCAACATCCATATGAAACACACTTGAAACATTCATCCGAAACAATTGAAACACTTGAAAACATAGCGTCGCCGCCAGCAATGGCCTACCTGGTGGGGAACTGCGGTGGAGCATGCCTCTCCTTCCTGCTGACGGCGCGATGGGGGCACAGGCGCAGGTGTAGGCATAGGCCTCCCTAGGCGCAGGTGCAGGTCTCCCTTGCCTCGCCTTCCATGACGGGTGAGGTTGATGGGGTGCGGCACTGGATGGTGGCGGGCGGCGTGAGCGCGCGAAGCAGCGCGAGAAGGGGCTGGGTGCCTCATGGGAAGGAGCAGCGCGGGAAGGGGCCGGCCACGCGGGAGAGACGCCGAAGCAGACGTTTCATGCTAGGGAGGGTGCAGGGAAGAGAGAGCATCCTGCTGTGACCTTGCGGCGACAGTGTCGTCTGGAGGTGTGGTGCTGGTGCGGAGAGGGGCGGTGCCTGGAGCAGGAACGAGTGGATGAGAGGTTTTTTTTTATTAAGAAACTCCCAAGCGGATGGGACGGAATAGTTGGGCTGGTGTCGCTCCGCACCGCAGCATCACCGATTCTGATGTTCCTTCATGCTGCCGATCCATGTGCAGGAGACAGCTAGCAGCGCTGATTCAGTTTGTCCACTCCGGCCCAGACACAAGCGTGCTCGGCTTCCTGGCCCGTTGGCCATTGCGACGCTCCGGCCCATCAATCCCAGTTGGCCTGCGTGGGTCTTGCGCCTGATCAGCATCATCTTGGCAGTCATCGGGATGGTTGACAATTCAACCCTTGTGTATCATAAGTAGCCGTTTCTTTCAAATAGTAGGCAAACATGCTTGCCAACAATGAGGCGCCAGCTGACATTTGTACACTCAAGATGTACTGTCTAGTTGTGGGATCTCCAAATTTCCATAGATGTTCATTGGAGTAGCGTCCGTTCATAAGGCTGCATCTGTATTGCGTTATTAAGAAAAAAAATAATAATGATACTAGCTGTGGGATCTCCAAATCATTTAGCTGTGTCAGCTTATGGTGTCCATGACAACAATCTGACCTGGAAGATTGAAAACGATAACTGCCACACGTCATATATATATAGCAAAGCAAGGAATGGTTTCAATATATACAGGATCTCGCATATCCACCACAGCTAGTGCCGATAAATTCTTACAATCTTTGCTGATTTGTTGATATCTACTGATTCTAATCGATTATTCATTTCCAAATTAGCTAGTCAAATGAGGCCATCGTCTCGCTGGGAAGGCAGGTTTACTCCCTTTATATACTGATCCGAGTTGCGAGGTCATTGCTCAAGGCCATTCTAAACCCCTCTCAAACGGAGAGGCTTAGCTGATTAGAAAGCAAGAGATCAGCAGTCAATTCAGTATGAAGGGCCGCATCAATGGTGGCGGTAGCAGCTTGGTTTATGGGACTGCCATTGCCATTACCATATGTGTGGCTATTCTCTTCGGATGCCTAGCAATGACTGCACAAGCAGGTACGTAGTCTACATTGTCCTCATGCATCTTCTTCAATCTCTTGTCGTGAATCTGCGAAAATGAGTGCATATATATTTGAATACTGACGAACGCAAAATATATACAGGTCGTTCTCCTCATCAGCTGCTCAGCAAGGTGGGACGGCGCACAACAAGGGCACTCTATCTAGCTAGCAGTGGGAGCAACACAACAAGCGCCTACCATACCGAGGATAATTGCTTTGAAGCTTTAGATGATGAGACGAAGACGAAGCTGATCACACTAATATTTTGCACCGCGAAATGCTATTGCCATAGCGATCGTAAGGAAGACGTCTGCTACTGCTGCCAGCCTGAGCAAGGTTGTTACGACACGTTGCAGGAGTGCCAGGCCAAATGCCCTGTCTGCAACCCTACGTGCCCAGATGGAACAACGGCGGATGGACAACAGCTGCTTGGAACGAAGAACGCCACCTTATAAATTATTAAGGGTTGCGTCCATGATAATATAAGAGATAATATTTTAACTGTTATAGAATGGGATGGAGCCAAGTAGTAATATTTTGTTAATGTAAAAGATGTACTCCATTCCTTTCAAAGATTGCAGTTCTATTTCATTAAAAAAATTGCAGTTCTAGCTTTATTCCAAGTCAAACTTTTCATCTTTTTAATGGTCAAGGGAGGAAGAGGATGATATAAACCCCACCAGGAATTTAATTTCGTGAGCATCTCTAACTATATAAAAAGTACTCCCAAAAATGGTTTTGTAACCTTTGCAAAATATAATGGGACGCATGCTGATTGTCCTCCCTGGGGCGTGGACGCCACTGGCCGTGGGGGCGGCGGCGGGAGGTGGCGGTGGGGAGGGTCGAGAGGAAGAAGACAAATAGTGCGCGGAGGGCGAGATGGGCGGGTATGCACCAGAAAGGTTAGCGGCGCGCGCTGAGCAAGGGAGTTGTAGGTTTGGTCCCGGTCTTCGTGTTGTGGGCGCTGGTGCTGGTCTGTGTTAGCAAGGAGTCGGGGGAGGCGCAGCAACTTGGGGAAGAAGGGAAGAACAGCTAGGGGAGAATCTCAGATGAGTGCTTGATAGAGTTTAGAGTTTACAAATTTCTTGTTGTTTCTCTTCTCTCTCACAGCACAAAAATATCATTCATGCACACCACTCCGGGCCGATCACGGACGGCTTGGGCCTTCTGTTCCTCTTGGGCCGAGTCGCAGTGGTTGGCTGAGAGGAGCACTCTGGGCCATCAGCATCTGCTGAGTCTTCTTTGGTAACAGGCGACGGTGATGGAGTTGGACTGCTGACATCCCCTCCCACTTGGGAAAACGGCGATGGAGCTCTGGGAAAACGGCGATGGAGCTCCTCCAGAGACTCCCAGGTTGCGAGCGACGCCAGCATTTGTGACCACCTAACGAGCACATGCTGGACTGGGTGGGAGCCAGCAGTCCAGCGAGTCTGCAGGATCTGAGCAGGAACCTGAAACTCAACCAAGTCATTTGGAAGTGAAGAAGAAACCACCTGATCGCCCGCCGAAGCCTTTATTAGCTGCGACACATGGAATACAGGATGAACAGCCGCAGAGGGTGGAAGTTCCAGCCGGTAGGCCACAGAGCCAATCCGCGCAGCATTCAGTAGGGTCCGAAGAAGCGAAATGCCAGTATTTGGTGGGCGCGGCGAGCCACCGAGGACTGGACACAAGGTTGAAGCTAGCTTGACGAAGACCATATCGCTGATAGAGAATGAACGCTCCGAACGGCGCTTATCAGCTTGGCACTTCATGCGAGTTTGGGCGCAGAGCAGATGTTGGCGCACCAACTGATGCATAAGCTCGCGTTCCTCCAACCATCGAGAAATCTCAGGTAGGGCGGCAGCTGATGAAGACACGCCCAAGTGCCGTGGAGGGAAGCCGTAGAGGACTTCAAATGGTGACCGCCCAAGCGTTGAGTGGCTGCTTGTGTTTTACCAGTACTCCGCCAAGGAGAGCCAGTGAATCCAGCTAGTGGTGTTAGCTAATCTACAGTCACCTTGTGTGAAACACAGCAGAGGAAGACGGCGTCGACTTTGCCCCTGCTGTAATACAGTAGCCGCTGTAGGTGCAGGCACCGCATGGCTCACCTGCGGCACTGTAGGCACATGCAGTGGCCGACGCAGAGTCAGCCCTGTATGCTTATCTAGTTACTGTTACAGTATGTGCGCTGTACTTTAGTTAGATAGATAGAGTTGTATAAATAGGGCACCAAGGCAGCTCAGTAAAGAGAGCTCAGATTTGCCATCACACAGACAGGGCCTCGGCCAACGTTGTTGTCTTGTATTGTGCGTGCTTACTCTGTTCTCCCTTATTCTTCTAGCTCGATCCGTAGTGTGTGGGTACGGACACAACCGGTATAGTGGTCTGGGAGACTAGTGTGGTCTGGTCTGGGAGACTAGTGTGGTCTGGTCTGGGAGACTAGTGGTCTGGAGACTAGTAGTCTGAGAGACTAGTGGTCTGGTCTGGGAGACTAGTGGTCTGAGACTGGTGGTCTGGAGACTAGTTCACTATCGTCTGACGCTGATCCCGTGGGCCAACAAGTGGTATCAGAGCCGTACAAGCGCCGGCGTCATTCTAACCGATGGCGAGGACATGCGGTTTTGAGTTGGGCGATGACAGTGGAACTGTCATAGCTGCCCAGCCAATACCGGAGGTAGTTGTCCGCATGGTGCGGGAGGTCAGCAGCACCACTTGGCCAACGCTGACTCGCACTAACTATAGAGAGTGGTCGGTGACCATGAAGGTCAAGCTCAGAGCCCGACGGCTCTGGAATGCTGTTGACAAGGGCACCGATGTGGAAGAAGACGACATGTCAGCGTTGGAGGCTATCCTCGCTGCTGTACCGGCGGAGTACAGGGAATCCTTAGGGACGAAGAGCTCAGCTAAGGAGGCGTGGGAGGCCATTGCGGCGATGCGCGTCGGTTCCA